CTCACTACTCTGTAAACAATCACAAACAACGTGTCTTAAAGTTGAAAACAGAAGTTTAAGTTAAAACAGAAATACTCTGAAACTTTTCTGATGATTTTCTAAACAATTCTGTCGGGGAATTCTATGTTTCTGAGACGAGTCGCTGTCTAAACATCACATGCATTACTATCATTAAGCAGCAGGTGTGCTGAAGCTGTCATCAGCTAAGGGGCGGATGCTTAAGTGCATCAGGGGCAGCGAGGAACGAGGAAGTTGTGTTCAGGCTGGAGATCACACCAGATTCGCTGCTGCAGGCGTGAATCTGCGGGTCTGCAGCGTCCCCTTATTAACGTGACAGCAGAACTTCCCATGTAAGGAAGGTCCGCTCACCTGTTCGTCAGATCATTATTTCCTCGCCATGATCTTTTATCATCCCATCAACCTCCAGTCATCCAACTGGAACCAGTTAGTGTTCCTTATCATTCTCAGAATATGCCATGCCTGCTCTGGTGTTAAAAGTTAGTACATTTAAGTCCTAGATCATATTTGTGCCTGTTCTACTGTCATTTTGAAGGATTATTATTTATGTGTTTTTACTACATTATGAGCAGAAATGCTAATAAAATCTCCCAATTATACAAACAAGTGAAACTGGAAAAATTAGAATCTGGTGCAAAGTCAAATTTATTTCAGTCATTCAACTAGACGGAGAGACTATTTAAAGGCTCAGGAACCATTTGCAGGTGTTTTCTATTTGTAATTATAAATTTTAGTTGATTTGGGTCTTGTTTCATATCACACCGTGACATGTGAATAACTAAAATGCATTTTTTTATTAAAAGCTTTAGTTTACAGTAATAACCATGTCTAATGTTTGATTCTCTGTCCCATAATTTTAATTAAAAGTTTTACTTTGAAAGCACATTTTCCTGAACGATTAAAATGCGATTAATCGAGATTAATTAATTACAAAGCCTGTAATTAATTAGATTAATTTTTTTAATCAAGTCCCAGCCCTAGTATTTAGATAATGAAACGTCAAAAAGGGAAATTATTTTACTTGTTTGTCAGTGCATTTGAACAAACATCTTAAAATGTTATTTATTTAACCAGATGAGTCGATAGAGAACTCATTCTCATTTACAACAACGATCTGGCCAAGAGGCAGCAGCAACAGACACATAATTAGCTTTACATAATTTACTACATTTATTAGCTCAAGCATAAGAAAACATGAAAGCTTCAAAAGTATTAGTATCAGCACCTCTCTGACAGCATGGTGGGAGTATCTTAAAATGACAGAGTCTTCACTAGTACCATGCAGACGCACACCTATCTGGAACAATCCTGACATTTTGCAAAACAACAAAATGATGAACCTTCCGGACTGGAAAAATAAAGGAATCCTATACCTGGAACACATATATGAAGGATTGGACTTCATCCCATTTAATCAAATAGTCTCCCAATTTGGAATGGATAAGAATAGCTTTTTAGAATATCACCAAATTAAATCTGTAGTCAAACAAAAATTTAAGCTCAATAAAATAGAATTACAAACACCACCAAGGGTATTAGACTTTTATAATCTCAAACCCCCCAAACTACTGTCTAAAGTATATAAGACACTGTCCAAAATAGACGATAAAATTGCAATCCCTATTGAAAAATGTGAGGTGGATCTATCAGTTAGCTTTGACCAGGACTTCTGGTCCCAAACTTGTTTAAAAACTTTTAAAATGATCAGACACCCCAATTTACAATTAATTCAGTACAAAATTCTACACAGAGTACACTATACAGGTCATCGGATGTTCAAGATGGGGTTTGTGTCGTCTGACACCTGTACACACTGCACAAACAACATTCCTGACAATTACATTCATGCACTGTGGTCCTGCCCACCTGTCCAGGAATTTTGGGGTAGAGTATGTGAGGATCTGTCAAAATGTCTGAAATGTCATATCCCAACTTCCCCCTCTCTTTGTTTACTGGGGAAGCTGGACGATGTCCCGATTGCAACATCTTTGGTTCACGTGGTTCTGACTGCCATATGCATCGCTAAGAAAACTATCCTCTTGAATTGGAAAAATAGAGAAAGTCTCTGCATTAACCAGTATAGAAATCTTTTGTTAGATCATATTGCACTTGATATAGCCTCTGCTTCCACTTCAGATGAATCTCTCTGGGCTCCTTTGATCGGTTCCATCACATAGCGAGGGTGGGGGGCCGTTGATGTTGTCCTGCGGGATGGTGTGGGTGGGGGGGTGTGGGGTCTGAGTTTGGAGTATCCGGATGTTCCCTGGAGGTGGGTTCACTGGGGGTGTCTGGGACTGGGGGGGCCGTTGCCCCCCTCTGGAGGTGCTTGGGTTGCCTCGGGGGGTGGACTGCTGGCGGTTGTGAGTGGGGCCTCTTGGGGATCTTGGCGGCGGCCATGGGTCACTGCCTGGCGGCTGCAATGCCCCTGGGCGGGTCTGGGTGGGGGCCTGGGGGCTCGGGGTTTGGGGGTGGCCGGCCCCGTGTGGGGATCTGGGCGGGGCCTTGGGGGTCGGGTCCTGACATGTATGCTGCCGGGAAGAAGGCAGGGACACCCAGCAGTGCCTGGCCCGGGTTCGGGGGCCTCAGGCAGGCCTTGGCTCCTCTTCCGTTCCATCACAGGGGAGGGGGAGGTCCAGGAGGGGGAGGACCCAACCTTACCTGGATGTCCCATGTCTTATATATTCTGGAAGTTGTGCAAATGCAGGGGTGGGCATAGATATTCTGCTGGGGTGGGGCTGGGTTGGTGCCCTCGGACTCCGTGAGGCTCTGTAATGCTGCTGCTTTGGGCCCTGGCAGGATGGGCTGGGGTCTCCATGCCCTGGGTGGCAGTTTGACAACAGAGGTGCCTATTGGGGCCAGTAGGGGAGCTGGCTCCCTGGAGGGCTAAGCCCAACCAGCCATTCCTCCCCATCCCCGCATATTTCTCTCCTCCTGCTCCCTCACATCATCACACAAACATACACATAGGACCTTGGGGGGTGGGCAAGTCAGGGAGTGCGGGTATGGACCCCATTTCCGCATTCCTGTGGAAACCTGCCCCCCAATTTTATTTGCACCTTATACACTTCCACTGACGACATTCCACACAAACACACACTTAGGGCCTTGGGAGTGAGCACATTCAACGGCATTTGGCAGGGGGATATTTCAGCCTCCTCCCGAGTGCCGGTGCCCACTTCCAATTTTAAACCGCACTTAGACACTGATGGCTGAGGGTGTAAGTGGGGTGGTGCGGTGGCATCAGCTGGCATATGCTGGATGATGCCCGCACTGCCCACTCACCACAGCCATGGAATACACCTCATGATCACACAACACTATATTGGAGCAGCGGAGGGAGACTAGGGGTCTTAGCCACCTCTGTTGTTGCTAGGCTTCCTGGGGCTGGAGGCTAGGAGGGAGATCTGGCCGTCTGGTTGGGGTCTGGGGTGGTGGGTTGCTGTGCTCAGCGTTGGGCGGGGGAGCCTGCTCATCAGCACCCCAGCAGAAAGGGTCAAACTCTGGTTACCGGTGATGGTTGTACCCAATGTTCAGCAGTACCGGGACCAGAGTGAATAGGGTGTATATGGGGAGCATGAGTGGGTGTCCGGCGTGCATTTTTGTAAGTCTTGGGTTGTATGTGCATGTGTGAGCATGAGGGAGGGAGCGTGTGACTGTGTTTGTGTATGACTGTATATGTCAGGTGGGGCCTTTGGGTCCTCCCCTCTCCTGGAACTTCTCTTGAGGATATAGATCTCTGTCCCCCCTCCCCCTGCCACACCTGGTTTGGGGGCTTGTGCCTTCGTCTGCCTGAGTGTTCGTGGCAACCGGGTCTGGGGGTTTAAGATTTTGGCATCTGCCTGTTAGATCCCGGTGGCTGCCTGGTGGGGTCTGGGTCCCTGGGCTCTGCTGGGTCCCCGGCGGGGGTGGTCGCCCCTGGGTCCCGGGTCGCTGGGTCCCGGGCTCGGCCGGCTAGGGGGTGGGAGGCTGCGGGTGGGCCTGTGGGCTTGCCGCTGATATCTCCGGGGACTCTGCCGGCTGCTGGTTGTGGCCCCCCGGGGCGATCCTCTGTGCCTCTTGAGGGGGGCGGGGGCCTTCCTGGTTGCAGTCTCCTTGGGGTTCCTGCTTTCTGGGGCAGCACCTGGATCTCTGGGACTTGGAGCTCCCCCCGTCTCCTGCGCATCATTAGGGGGCGGATCTGTGGTCCCTCACACTCTCTGTTGGACGCTCCTATAGATAAACCTTACATAAACAAGCGCGTGTACACACACAGGTGCTCACATGGTGCTCTCAAAAGTATGGGCTTGGGCACGTTAAACACAGGTCTTAAGACTATGGTGGGCACTTAATGCGTTGTGATTTATTATCGTGATTCTTCAGTTAAGCAATGTTGATTATATATATATATATTTTTTTTTTCTTTTCATCAAGTTGACGCAGTGATAGCTAGATCTTGTTGTATTGTTGTTGTGTCCCTTTGTTTGTGTCCCTTTGTTTTTTTTTTGTCTTTTTTCTGCAGGTCTAGAAGCAGACTCTTGTTGATTATTGTTTATTTTTGTGGAACACCCCCCCCCCCCCCCTCCCCACCTTTTCTTTTCCTCTCTCTTTCACCTCTGTCTCCGTGTCTGGTCTGAATTACAAAGCATTCAACAACAATAACAATAAAGTTTTAAGTATCAGGCGTGACATTAAAAGCAAACGCTTTGATTCTCCACCTGAAAATAAATCTGTATGGCTTGTCACCAGCATTCAGACATCAATTCTGCTTGCTTCACAGCCAGACAGGACACGGTAAAAAAAAAAAAATTAGCTTTACATCAAAGAAAAACAAATGAGATAAAAACAAACAAGATTGAAATAAAGTAAATAACAAAATTATTATAACAGGTGTAAAACTAACTTGTCTTTACTTTAAGTAATTGTTTGAGGAAGATATCACATGTTATGTGTGTTTTATTAGTCCCATTCTAAACACACAGGTGTGTTTTATTCTGCTCCAGCAGGTGGCGCTAGTGCACCTTTACGCTGGTCACCGACCACCTGAAGAAGCAGGAACCGGAAGCTGCTAGCAGAGCTAGCTTGTTGTTCTGGTGTGTGAGGAGAACATTTGAGACTGCAGTAAAAATGTCTTCACTTCAGTCTCTGGGAGAGTTGATCAGCTAAAGCGACTAACTGCTGCTGCTGCAGAAATCTTCTCACCAGGCTGTGGAAACTTTCTTCTCCTCCTCAACAACTTGGTGGAGTTCTTTCCAGAACCAGAGAAGATATTCTGCGGTCTTCGTGACAATCGGAGCTCCAGGATCAGGTTGTGGGTGAGAAAAGCTTTTCTCTAGACTTCCTGCCCTCTGGATCTGCTGCTGTTCCTTTGGCCTCTCTGAGAAACGCGCTCGTTTTGCTGCTTTCATCAGATTGAAGAGGTTCCCTCTATCAGACTCGCTCATCTGAGTTGGTCATGATGCAGGATCGCTGCTCGCTCTCTCATCCATCCTGCTCACACTCTCCGACGGAAAAGCCCCGAATCTGAATGTGACTCTGGAGGAAAAAGCGGTTAGCTCTACTCCGTGAACTCTGGTGAGCAAAGGTCCTCTTTTCCAGACTGGATCTGTCCTCAGCTGATCAGAACCAAAGCGTTGGATCTTTAATCTCCTGCGTTGTTCTGAAGCAGCATCTTAATCAGCTCTCCTGCTTTGTTTCTATTGCAGCTGTTAGCTAAACACGGCTAAAGAAAACCTGCTACCACTTCAGGATCATCCATCAGCTGGGACTGATTCATCGTGTGTTCTTCACCACCTGGACCTGGACAGCATGGACACAGGTACTGGTGGATGAATGAATGAATATATGGTCAGTCTATGGTGGGACATTACAGTGAAATAATGAGAATGAGGTTCAATCTTTAAAATAATGATCTGTATATGTTTAGCACTACTGGGGTTCTAAAACCCCCCAAAGCGTTTTACATCACAACCAGTCATTCACTCATTCACACACTGTTGTAGAACCTTGTAGTTTTAGAGTGATTAGATCTCTCTAATGAATGATTTTTGAAGCCAAGTATAGTTAAAGTCCCAAAGTCATCGTCACACACTGGTGAAGTTACGTCCTGCATTCGACCCGTCCCCATGGGGAGCGGTGAGATGAAGCTGTGGGAACTATTTGGTCTTCTGTCGGGTTTCAGTCACTACGAGAATCAGTCAGAGACAGGAGAGGTTTTCATCGTGTTCACAACCTACCTTTGTTGTAGCGTCAGTCACGCATCATCATTTGACCAATCGCAGTTGGGGAGACAGCCTGCTGCAGACACGACGGCAGCGGCGCTGACAGCACGTATGACTGCTGTTGCTTCAGCACGTCGCTGTGGTTTAGAGCTTAAAGGCCCAGTGTATAAAAACATTCGACTCTTCAGCGCCACGCAGTTCAGAGTAAGTATTGCAGCTCCGGTAGCCCACACTAGGGTTGGGCTGGTTTTCCATTCGCCCATCATTAGTCCAGTAAACGACGATGGGCCGTGGTGTGTGCGTGTGACTGATTACGGTATGATTCACTGACTGATTTGCGAACACAGAAGACGTCTAAACATGGATGTTTTTATGGATGTGCAGCACAAATTAGATTTTTCTTTTTGTTTAACTCCCTCACTGCCAGCCATTTCCTGATCAGAAAAGCTCTTCGCTGCCAGCGTTTTTCAGCGTTTTTACAGTTTTTTTAAGAGTCACAGAACGTTGCTCTATGATGATGTCAACGCCAAAACTACCAAAACAAAGAGTAGACTCACCTCTTACAGGAAGAATCCACGTGTTTTGAGTGTTATCTGTTCTTTCATAAGCCGTTGTTGAATTGTGATCGGCAGAAGCTTTTCCGCTTCTCGCCTCACTTTTTTTTACAGCAGCGTCCCAAAACGATCTCCTAACACACACGTGTCAGACACCATGTGGCCCGTGGAGCATTTTTATGGGGCCCGCGAGATAATTATCAGAAATATATTAAAACTGACCCGCTAAGACTACAACTCCCATGATGCTTTGCGGTGTTAGCGCGGAGCTGAAGCGCCCCCTCCTTTGTGTTTTTTCCAGCGTCTGCTGCCGGTGTCTGCAGCTCCGCTGTCTCGGACAAACTAAACACTCCTCTCACTCAGCGCTGAGTTCACTCAGCTATTTTCTGACGTTGAAGCCCAGAAACGGAGATTTTAACCGCTCAGTAATGTGTTCACGACTGAAAGAGAAAGTTTTCCAGCTAACTTCCAGACAGAGCTGATATAACTCCAGCGAGCAGCGACACGCTCAAACCAGCATGACTCTGTGGCTGCTGTAGTTGTTATTTTTCCTCCCCGACACACAACGACGTGGTCAAGCTGCTCAGACATGTTCATCAGCACAAACCTATGTGAGCACCTGTTGTCATCTAATGTTGTCATTATTATGATGAAGATGAACAAAACAACAGGAGTCTCCTCCTCAGCTCAGATCAACCCCATGATGCAGGTATCTGGCTGGAACAGGTGAGCATCACAGTAAACCAGTGGAGCAAACTGAGCTTTAAATATGTTGGTTTTATGCTCTTTTTCTGCTCCACAACATGAAAGTTAACAGGTGAGATATTGCATTTTCATTTAAGATAAAATGATATTTTAATTTTGTTGTTGGCCCGTGAGAAAAGATTTAACTTACAGTAAACAGGAAGTGGAAAGGCTGCAGATAGATGAATAGAATAGAAAATCCCTTTATTGTTCCTCAGTGGGGAAAGCTAGACGTCACAGCAGCGATGACACGTATTACAGGAGAAAAAAGGAGAATAAAAAATAAGAAAAATGAATAAACAAGAAAACATAAATCCTGAACAGATTTTAAAAATGCTGAATATACCACAAGTAATGAATACCACTGATGCCTTTTATTTAAAACTGACTTGCTCGTGTGTAATCTGGTTATTCCACATTCAGTGTTAATGCAGAAATAAGTTTGTTTCCAAATTAAAAGGTTCTAAATTGCATAAATGTTGATAAAGAAAATGTGCAAATTTGCCGTCACTTTTTCAAAAAATATTAAGTTTGGCCCTCGACTTCGTCCCAGATTTTCATTTCGGCCCCGTGTGAGTTTGAGTTTGACTCCCCTGATCTAACACGTGGACTTTCTGCTTCCTGATCACGTGACGTGTGACGTACGCGGATGAAGATCGGCTTTAGAGCTGGGATGTTTGTTCTCACGGTGCGGGGGCTCGTTCCGACGCCCACACAGTAAAAACATGCCAATGACAGTTAAAGAGTTGTTAAAGCGTTGAAAGGAAGTAGGGCTGAAACGAATCATCAAATGGTTCGATTCATTAAGTTCCTCGATTCATTTTTTTAGTGATTCGAAGCTTCGTTAAACGTGCGCTCCACAGTCTGAACACGTTTTACTGGAGCTCTACGTGGTGATCTCGGTGCTGTGGTGGAAAAAAGAGAAACCAGCAACGACGGAAACCATCGTTAGAGGCAGAAACGGTCCAACGTTTGGATCAAGAGTTAAACTACAAGCAAACTACTGAATTGGCTGACTGAGTGGAGGCGGTTCATAGATGTTGCAACCTTTATGTCAGAAGGGAACCCCCCCCCCCCCACACACACACACACACACCTTTTGCTCTTTCCATTGTTCTCAAAGAAATCCATTCCACTTGATTCATTAGAAATGACTCAGTCGGCTGAAGTCCGTTTCACGTTTTCCTGGTTGCTCTGCTGCACGCATGGTGGGCGTGACTGACATGGTTGTCAACAAAGTTAGAAAATAAAAGACCGAACGAACCAAAGTGAAACTACAGGCTTGTGGAAGCTGGAGGAGGAGTCAGTGCCATTCCTATCCCATAATAAGCAGTGTCCTTGTCTGATCCCTCCACAGACACGGGGACATGAGGACATTTCTCACAAAGAAGCATAAAATAAGTAAAACTGTCCAGAATGAATGCTGACAGATGCTTTGAAACCCTCCGTCCCCCAGTTCTGGTTAGAACTGGGTTTGCCCGCGGGTCATCTGGGTGAGGCCACAGAACCTGCAAAGACTCTCAAAAGGTCTGGAAAACGACCGGTTCGGCTGGCTCCGGTGAAGTGGAGACGGTCATACTGGGAAGTTTCGGTAATGGAAACACACCAATTAGTGCCTGGCTGTCCTATAAAAGACACCCATTCCTCCTTTTTGTGTGAGGATGCCAGCTGGTCCTGTTCCCCTGCAGATAGCTCATCAGTACTTAATACAAGTTGTTTATTGTTTATCTACGTTGGTGTTAGTTTGGGATGTTCTGATCATACCAGCAACACCTGTGTGAACCCTGTGTGATGCACTTGGGCTTCTTCCCCTTTTCCTTCATGCTGTGCAGGACAGCAGCAACAATGTAAAACAACATGTCCGCCTAACTTTAACTCTGTCTGCGAGAGTGATGTAAGCTTTGAGTCCTGCAATGAAAAGCTCCAGCTCCTGGGGAAGCTGATCACAGCTGGTTTAATAAGATGTGAAGAACAACATCTGGGTGGAGTGAGGTGAGTTTCCAGGGATCGCTGCAGAGATAAACACCTCCCAGTCAGACGCAGCTACGCTCACCAACACCCGTCTGTATGAGCGTCGGAAGGCTCGGCTAATAACCGGACCATAAGGAAGTTCATGATGCTGGAAGAGCAGCCTTTCTCTGTGGTGGAAGAAGAACCAAGTTTATTCATACAGCACGTGTCCCAGACTGAGGTCACACAAGGAGTTACAATAAAACGCTGAACACTAAAGCTAGAACATAAGACAATGAGTAGAAAACAACAGGCTCCGCCCACTGCTCAATCACCAAGTAACCCACTACAGGACATATAATAACATCTACAATAATAATCATTATAATAATATAATAACAACAATAAATCTCCCAAAATGCTAATTTGTAAGGTTCCTTTGCTTTGTAGTGCTTTAGCCTGCTGAGAGCTTAAAAGTTAAAGGTTGTTACTGACAGCAGCTACATCTAAGTGTTTATTCATTTTCCTTTTGACTGAATAGTTGCTGATTTGATCTTGGAGACGTTTCTCCTCACATCAGCTTCAGATCTAAAGAATGATTTGTGAGTAGGTGTTGCGCTGACCTTAGAGGTGTGGCTGCCCCTCTCTATTGTTCCTCATCCTTTCCCTACATGCTGACTCCGTTGCGCGTTGCCAGCGCGTGACCGCAGATGGAACCTGCGTGTGCTCCGGCGCGCGCCTCGCCAGGTGAGCAGAATTGAGGCAATTAAGAGCTCGTGCTCGGGGGAAATGAAGTACAGCCAAAATGTCTGCAACAAGCTTTTGCCCAGCGCGCGGCAGACTGAGAGGAGTGCAGAGCGAACACAAATGGGTACACTGTGAGGAGGAAGTCTTTGATCTTGACGGGCTGTCGGTAAGCTCTTGGATTCACGTCTTTATATGGACTCTTTATCCGTCTGGGTGTGAATGGAATTTACTGAGAGGAAGTGTGTTAACGTCTGGAGTGCCAGAAATGACTGCAGGAATAATAGTAAATTAAATGAAAGCAAGTTAAGGCAGAAAACAGATGTATTCATGTATTTAATTATTTGTCTGGTAAAATCAGTCTTTTTTCATCCTTGCTTCATTGTGAAATGATTCATCTCTGAATTAGCAGCCAGTACTTGTAAAAGCAGATAGAATAGTACTTGTCTAAAACTAGACGCCCAACTGAAGGTTACTAAAGATGCTGGTGTGTTCTCCTTGCTCTGTATTACCTGTAACAGCATTGAAGTTTATCTGCATGATTTAGTTACATGTTTATTTTTGTTATTTAAAGCTTTTCCACCTGACTGGTTCCTGAACCCGGACTGATCTCAGTACTGGTCAAATAAATTGTTCTGAGTGAAATCCAAAGTCTGCTCTTTCCAAGTGTCGGCACCTCACAGTGGAAGAAAACACTTGACAGTAGGAGGCTTAGAAGTTCTGGTCAGAACCAAACACGCTGATTGTGATGGAAGTTTTTATTGATCCTAAAGTAGAAATATGTTTTTATCTAAATGAAGTTCATGTTCTTGTTCCTTTTCCCCACATCATGTAGCCGGTATCACTCGTGGTGTAAATATAAAGGTATGGTGGTGTGTAACATCATGTGTCTGTGTTTCCTACAGATGTTCAACAGCTGGTGCTGGTTAAAGAAGAAGATCCTGAAGAACAGAGTGCTGGTGTGGACCAGCAGGACCCAGAACACCTCCACATAAAGGAGGAACAGGAGGAGCTCTGGACCAGTCTGGAGGGAGAGCATCTCTGTTTGAAGGAGGAGACTGAAGCTGTCGGGTCTCCTGTTACTGCTGTTTCTATAAAGAGTGAGGATGATGAAGAGAAACCTCTGGTCTCACAGCTTCATCAGCAGCAAATAGAAGACAGAGATGTTCCAACCAGCAGCTCAGCTGACCAGATGACCGCAGAAACTGGTGGAGGAGCAGGAACTATCAGGAACCCAGATCTGAACCCTCATGAACAAACATCTGATTCTTCAGAGACTGAAGTTAGTGGAGATGATGAAGATGATGATGATGATGATGTGAATCTGGACTCTGGGTCTGAAACTGGAGATGAAGATGATGACTGGAATGAGAGCAGGTCTTCTGAGTCAGATGGTAAGTCTGTCAACAAGTTCTTCACAAGTGGTCTCTCCAGAGACACGTGAGGGAGACGAGTCATCCAGCAGTCAGGTCTTCAGGCTGTTTGGTTCATAAGAAATGTGTTAGAGTGAAGCAACATGTAGACTCGTGCAGGAAAGTCCAGAAGAAACCTAAATCATTTAGTCATGATGACTGGAGAAAGGTTTACTACAAATGTAAACAAACAAATCACATGAGAGTCCACACATAGCAGCTGCTGTTCCAGAGTATGGGCCAGCCTCATCCCACCCATACTCTGCTTCTGGCCGCTAACAAGATGGCGCCTGTGTTTGGAATAGCCAGTTAGTAATAAAATTTCTTAACTTTTAAACTTGACTCGTTCTATTCTGTTGTCTCTGAGTGAATACATAACGGTTACATGATCTCTGCATTAAAAAGACCCGATCTTCTGGTTTAACCAACCCCGATCCATGAGGCGGATTTCATATTTCCTATGGAATCCCACGCCTTACGGCTCATTAATTAAAATGTAAGAACCTCATTTTTCCCTTACAGCTGAGTCCCATTCTGTCCCGCTCTGAACTTGAGACAGTTCTCCACACCTTCATCTCCTCACGCTTAGACTACTGTAACTCTCTTTTCACGTGTCTGAGCAGAACCTCCCTGAACCGTCTACAGGTGGTTCAGAACGCCTGTGCTCGGCTTCTGACCAAGTCCTCCAAACACACCCACATCACCCCGATTCATGAAAAAAACACTAAAACTGAGTTATTTTCTAGAAAAGACTTTTTTTTTTTTGCCTGGGGTGTTTAGTACAAATCAGTCTTGATTATGTTATGAAATATCTAAACTTTAGAATTTTTTGCATTTATAGTTTTTACATAGCAACAGATTTAAAATTGACTATACACTCGAGCCATTAGAGGACAAAAACGTCCCATTGACTTTAATGCAAACCACAGGTTTTGATCCTGTATCATCTGCAACAAATAATCATGCTTTCTGTGATGTTATGGTTTCATTTTGGACAAAAGTAGAATTCAGTCATGTCTCCATATGTTGCCCAGGCGAGAAAGTTTACACATTTCTTTAGATCTTCTGCTGTTTTTATTGAAGTCAAAAGGCCAACCTGACCTCTGATAAGTAAATAAAACACAGTTTGACTCTCCTACTGAACTTCAAAGTGTAGAAAACAAAAACAATTAGTATGTTTATGCACCTGCCACATTCAAACTCCTTGTAGTCTGGTTATCTGGTCATTTCACTTCTGTGAAAGCCACGGAGCTAAATGAAGAGGCATCTCTCTGTGGAACAAGTTCTGGATCAGCTCCTGCAGCCTGATACTCCTGGAGAAAATGAGGAGAGTGAAACATCTTCAGTGGACTTTGAGGTGGAGTCAGACCATTCTGTTTCCTTGACTTCTTCTCCTGACCTGTCCAGTGAAAGAGAAGGGAGGACAACGGATCCTGCTCCAGGATGGATTTCTAAAAGTGGGCAAGTCTGGTTTCCTACTAACGCAGAAACTTCCCACTATGTTCCTGCTGCAAGATGTTTGAATCCTGGGCCAACACGTTACACCATCACACGTATTTACGACGTGGTATCCTCCTTTGATTTATTCTTTACTCCAGAAATGACTGAAATCATCGTCAACATGACAAATCTAAATGGAAGACGTGTGGTGAAGAACTGGTGGGATATTGATGACATCGCAGTGAGAGCATACATTGGGCTCCTGATTTTGGCTGGTGTGTACCAGTCCAAAGGGGAATCCACCTGCAGCCTTTGGGATGACCACTGTGGACGTGCAATCTTCCTGGCCACCATGAGTCACACCAAATTCAAGATGATCAACTCCACCCTACGGTTTGATGATGAGCTGAACAGGCCTTCCCGTCTCAGGCAGGACAAGCTGGCCCCTATCCGCTCGATTTGGGACATGTGGACCCATCGCCTCCAAATGCTTTTCAACACTGGGTTAGATGTGTGTGCTGATGAGCAGCTTGTCCCTTTCAGAGGCAGGTGCAAGTTTCGCCAACATATGCCAAGTAAACCAGCAAAGTACGGATTGAAACTCTGGGTCACTGCTGATGTTGCCACTTCCTATGCCTGCAAGTGTCAGGTTAACACAGGGAAAGCTGCTGGTGAGGCTGCAGAGGTCGGCCAGGGAAAACGTGTCATTTTGGAGATGACCGAAGAGCTCCAAGGAGTCACTTCACATGCATGCATTCACACTTCTGCCCTTTCATAAACAAACTGAACTACAAAGAGTTTGGATGTGCCTGAGCTCCAGCCAGGTGCATAAACATATTGTTTTTGTTTTCTACCCTTTGATGTTCAGTAGGAGAGTGAAACTGTGTTTTGTTTACATGCTGAGCTTCTGACTTCAATAAAAACAGCAGAAGATCTATAGAAATGTGTAAACTTTCTCGCCTGGGCAGCATATGAAGAAATGACTGAATTTGGTGGTGAACAGTAAAAATCATAAATTTGACTACTTTTGTCCAAAATGAAACCATTACATCACAGAAAGCATGAATATTTGCTGCAGATAATGCAGGATCAAAAACTGTGGTTTGCATTAAAGTCAATGGGACGTTTTTCTCCATAACAGGCACAAGAGGGTGGTAAATTTTAAATCTGCTGCTACACAAATTTCAAAAAGCATAAAATGTGATATTTTGCTAGACTCTTGACATATCCAAGGCTAATTCCATGCTGTCGTTCTTTTTAAAACACAGAAACGTTTTTGTCCTCTAATGACTCTTGTATGAAAATTAAAGTGAAGCCTGAGGGTTAAGGCTCATATGATTTATAGAGGCTCAAAGTTCAGTTTCCAATTGTAAATACATTTCATTCTACTGTCAGTTTAAAGAAATAATACAACTGTTATATGTGTGAAAACACAGTTACAGCTGTCTGTAATTCACATAATATGTTTCTGTGTTTCCTACAGATTTTCAACAGATGGTTCTGGTTAAAGAAGAAGCTTCAGAAGAACAGAGTGCTCGTGTCAACCACCAGCACCTAGATTTTCTCCACAAAAAGGAGGAACAGGAGAAACTCTGGTCTAGTATGGAGGGAGAGCATCTCCATTTGAATAAGGAGACTGATGCTGCCAGGTTTCAATCCTTTAGCCAAAAAACACATTTAAACAAACACACGAAAGTCCAGACAAAGCAGAAACATTTTGCCTGTGAGCACTGTGGACAAAGGTTTCACCAAAAGACAAATTTAAACAAACACATGAGAGTCCACACAGGAGTGAAGCCTTTTGCTTGTGAGCTATGTGGACAAAGATTTAGCCAAAAGGCAAATTTAAACAAACACATGAGAGTCCACACAGGACAGAAGCCTTACGCCTGTGAGCTCTGTGTAAAAAGATTTAGCCAAAAGACAAATTTAAACAGTCACATGAGAGTCCACACAGGACAGAAGCCTTTCGCCTGTGAGCTCTGTGTAAAAAGATTTAGCCAAAAGAAAACTTTAAATAATCACATGAAAGTCCACACAGGACAGAAGTCTTTCGCCTGTGAGCTCTGTGGAAAAAGATTTAGCCATCAGACAACTTTAATTAATCACATGAAAGTCCACACAGGACAGAAGCCTTTCGCCTGTAAGCTCTGTGGACAAAGATTTAGCCAAAAGGCAACTTTAAACAGTCACATGAAAGTCCACACAGGACAGAAGCCTTTCGCCTGTGAGCTCTGTGTAAAAAGATTTAGCCACAAGACAACTTTAAACCGTCACATGAGAGTCCACACAGGAGAGAAGCCTTTTGCCTGTGAGCTCTGTGTAAAAAGATTTAGCCGAAAGACAAAATTAAACACACACATGAGAGTCCACACAGGACAGAAGCATTTTGCTTGTGAGCTCTGTGGTAATAGATTTAGTGAAAAGGGACATTTAAATACACACATGAGTGTCCACACAGGACAGAAGCCTTTCGCCTGTGAGCTCTGTGTAAAAAGATTTAGCCACAAGACAACTTTAAACCGTCACATGAGAGTCCACACAGGAGAGAAGCCTTTTGCCTGTGAGCTCTGTGGACAAAGATTTAGCCAAAAGACAACTTTAAACCGTCACATGAGAGTCCACACAGGAGAGAAGCCTTTTGCCTGTGAGCTCTGTGTAAAAAGATTTAGCCGAAAGTCAACTTTAATCAGTCACATGAGTCCACACTGGACAGAAGCCTTTCGCCACTGAGCTCTGTGTAAAAAGATTTAGCCAAAAGACAAATTTAAACAGTCACATGAGAGTCCACACTGGCTTTTCGCCTGTGAGTTTAGTGGAAAAGATTTACCCAAAAGATCAGTTTAAACGGTCACAAAAGAGTCCATAAAGGACAGAAGCCCTTTGCTTGTGAGCTCTGTGGACGAAGATTTCGCTGAAAGAAAATTTTAAACATTCATCTAACTATCCACTAGGGCTGAATGATCTATTGCAGGGGTCTCCAACCTTTTTTTGGCCCGTGAGCTACTTTTACACAATGAAAGTACAGCAGAGTTACTCCCATATGATTTATTTACATTGATACTTTCCATGTGTGAATTTGCTTATGTTAAAAATTCTATGCTTACTATATTAACATGCATTGTACTCACAAGTTGATTTCTTTGTATTTCAGTACATCAGTCTATATATTTTTAAAAGTATAAGTTAACCGAAAAATGATTTAGAGGAGGATGGAGTAGGACGTGAGTCTGGGAGCTCCTGCCGACTTCGATTAAATTGTTATTCATTTGCGCTTTTTTGACCATATTTCTTGTCCTAATTCTGATTTTTGAATTATTTTGATGGGACGTTTTAATCGGCTCGGCATAAAATGGCAGCAAAAAATGTAAAAACCCGCAATGCTACTCAAACACAACTGAAGCTTGGTCTGCAAACCGCGGCCACACCCTCGAGTGAGCCGCCGTCTCCGGCAAAGTTTCCCTTGGGCCAAGCTAATCCTGATATCGGGGCTCTCAAGGTCGAGTTGCTTGCTTCGTTGAGGAATGATATTGCTGACATTTTTAAAAAAGAACTTCAGGACACTCTGGGTGATGCTTTGTCCACCATTAAGTTCGACCTGCAGGCTGTGAAGACGCAGCTGGCGATCGATAAAGCTGCCAATGACTCTACCATGTCCGAGCTAAAAGGTACGGTCAAGGAGATGGAGCATGCACTGACTGTTTGCTCTGATGATGTTGCTGAGATGAAAACTACTATCAAGCGCCTCACTGCTCATGTAGCCAAGCTGGAAAACAAGTGTGAAGACTTTGAGTCCAGGTCGCGGTGCAACAATGTTAGGATATTAGGAGTACCAGAGGGCCCTGACACGTCCACCACTGCTGCCGTAGCCTCCTTGCTAAAAGAAGCATTCGACCTGGGGAAGGAGCCGCTTTTGGATCGTTCACACAGGACCCTCCAGCCTACACCTAAACCTGGCGACCGACCACGAGCTATTATATGCAGGTTTCATTACCACACTGACTGTGTTGACATTTTACGACGTGCTAGAGAACGCCGACAGATTAAAGTTGGAGACCGAACCATCTCAATCTTCCCCGACTACACCGTTAAGGTGGCACGGGCTCGTGCTGCATTCAACACGGTCAGGCAGCAACTCCGTGGCATTGAAGGCGTCCGGTACGGCCTGCTTCATCCAGGACGACTCCGCATCACATACAAGGGTGTTGAGAGGGACTTTGTCTCAGCAGAAGAGGCAAGTGATTATGTTAAAACTTTGATCTCTGGGTGAGCCTGAATAGCCTCTTAGTTAGATGCTGTAATGTAACTAAGTGCTCACGCTCTCGTTAGGTTTAACGCCACCTGTGCATTGTTTTCTTAGACCGCTGTGCCAGTTATTATACTGTTGGTGTGCTGGTTCCTTTTATTTTCATTGTTATCTAATGAGACTGAATTATATGATATACTGTAGAGAGTTCAAAGGACTAGGTGGTATGTTGTTAAGCGCACACTGTTATACTGTAGAGAAGTTGGCGAGAGGTTGTGTTTTTTTTTCTTTTCTCTCTCTTGTTCCCTCTCTCGCTTTTATTTTGTATTTAGACGCCAGTTAGTCCAATCACTTCTGTGAACCATTTTTTTTGCTACTTTGGGGTACACTGCTGTCTCCTTTGTTTTGTTTTGTGGAGACTTGGGGGGGGGGGGGGGGGGGGGCTGTCCCACTTGGCTCTCTTCATGGCCACCTGCATCTTGGTTTTGTCTTTTTCTTTCTCCTTTTTATGAATGGTTAATGGTAATATAGACCCCAGCATTGCTGGGTCAGGTATGCCTCTTAGGTTTATTAGTTGGAATATCAGAGGTATGGGTAACCCTGTTAAGAGATCTAAGGTTTTCACTCACTTGAAACGTCTGAATTCTGACATAGCTTTTTTACAGGAGACTCATCTCCGTATTAAGGATCAACATAGGTTATATTGTCCTTGGGTAGGTCAGGTTTTTCACTCAAATTTCAATTCAAAGGCTAGAGGAGTGGCCATTCTCATCAATAAGAAAGTTCAATTCTCTTCGACCAATGTTATCGCTGATGGGAACGGTAGATACATAATTGTTGCTGGCACCCTAATGCAGAAAAAGGTTTTGTTGATAAACGTATATGCCCCGAATTTTGATGATGCTGAATTCGCTAATAAATTACTAAGTAACATCCCCTTTCTGAATACACATTTGCTTATTTTTGGTGGTGATCTGAATTGTGTTTTTGTTCCAAGCTTGGATCGTTCTGGTCCTCATAATTTAACTCCATCATCTATGTCTAAAACATTTTCAGATTTTATGATACAGAATGACCTTGTTGATCCATGGAGACTTCGCAACCCTACAATCAAAAAAATTTCGTTTTTCTCCCAGGTCCACCAATCTTATTCCAGGATTGATTATTTTTTCATCGATAGAACTCTCAATTCATGTGTTACTAACTCCGACTATTCTGGTATTGTAATATCTGATCACTCTCCTCTGCTATTAGATGTTCAACTCTCTGCATATAAACGTAGTCCTCCTCTTTGGAGATTTAATTCTCTGCTTTTGGCTGATAAAGAATGTTGTGAATTTATTTCAAGCTCTATTGAGGAGTTCTTGTTGTTTAATCGGGATGATTCTGTTTCATATTCTCTGCTGTGGGAGACTCTTAAATGCTATTTGAGAGGTCAAATTATTTCTTATTCTGTACGTACTAATAAAAAGATTAATGCCAGGCTTAAAGAACTTACGGTGGCAATTAGTAACTTTGATCAAATTTATGCACTGAATCCTTCTCCAGAATTACTCAAGCAGCGCCTTGATTTGCAAGCCGAATTTGATCTTATGTCAACCAAAGAGGCTGAGCACTTATTACTACGCAGTCGTGGCTCATATTATGAATACGGTGACAAGGCTAATCGCTTGTTGGCGCATCAGTTACGACGTCAGGCCTCTTCACGTGTGATACCTGGTATTAAAAACTCTTACGACAATATTACTACAGATCCTTTGGAAATTAATTCTACCTTTAAAGCATTTTACTCTTTGGTGTACAAGTCAGAATTTCCCACGGATAAAGCTAAAATGAATGAATTTCTTCAGTCTCTTTCAAACCCGGTTATCGGTACTCATAAGGCCGGGCAACTGGACTCCCCACTATCTGCTGATGAAGTATTAAAAGCTATTACAGCTATGCAGTCTAATAAAGCCCCAGGCCCGGATGGGTTTCCTATTGAATTTTATAAAACATTTATTGGTAAAATGGCACCTTTGCTTTTGTCTGTGTTTAACGAGTCCTTGGAATCAGGTTCATTACCTCCTACTTTCACGCAGGCCACCATAGCGCTCCTTCTCAAAAATGACAAGGACCCAACTTCCTGTGATTCTTACAGGCCATTATCTCTGCTTAATGCCGATGCAAAGGTATTAGCTAAAGTAATTGCGTCTCGCCTTGAGGATGTGCTTCCTCAAATTATCTCCGAAGAGCAGAATGGCTTTATAAAGGGACGGCAATTATTTTTTAATACCCGTACACTCTTTAACGTTATTTACTCAAAGCATCTATCTCAACTTCCTGAACTTGTGATTTCTTTAGATGCTGAAAAGGCTTTCGATAGGGTGGAGTGGGAATACTTGTTTGCAGTTTTGAAGAAATTTGGTTTTGGTGATAAATTTACTTCTTGGATTCAGCTTCTTTATTCATCCCCTAAAGCCAGTGTTCATACTAATGATGTTTATTCTGATTATTTTGCGCTGGGTCGTGGTTGTCGTCAAGGTTGCCCTTTGTCACCTTTACTCTTTGCCATTGCCATCGAGCCGCTGTCCATTACATTAAGATCTTCTTCTGTATTCAAGGGAATCCCCCGTAATGGAATTACACATAAAGTATCATTGTATGCGGATGACTTGTTATTATATATGACTGACCCTGCTCGCTCCATTCCTGCTGTTTTAAGTATTCTGGAGAACTTCAGCTCGTTTTCAGGTTATAAATTAAATTTAGGGAAAAGTGAGTGTTTTCCTGTTAATACGGCAGCACGTCAACTCCAACAGTCCGATCTACCCTTTCGTCTTAGTCCCTCTGGTTTTAAGTACTTAGGGGTTAACGTGACTCGCTCTCTATCTGGCCTTAAATCAGCAAATTTGTCTCCTCTTTTATCTAGGATCACATCTGATATTCAAAGATGGGGTAATCTCCCGCTTTCTTTAATCGGTAAGATTAATGTCATTAAAATGAATATCCTACCAAAATTTTTATTTTTATTTCACTCAATTCCCTTATTTTTGCCGAAACATTTCTTTGTTTCACTGGACAAGATTATTGGTTCTTTTATTTGGGGAGGGAAGCCGCCTAGGGTTTCTAAAACGTTGCTGCAGCAATGCAGATTTAGTGGAGGACTTGCATTACCTAATTTTCTAGCTTATTACTGGGCCGCTCACATTCAAAAACTCTGCTACTGGCTAAAATCTTCTGGTTCCTCGTGGTGTAAATTGGAGCTATTATCATGTAAGGGCTCCTCTTTACCAGCTTTGCTCTATTCCTCTTTACCCGTAAAACCCTCTTTGTATACTGATAATCCGGTGGTTCTTAACACACTCAAAATCTGGTTTCAGTTTAGACGACACAATAATTTTGTAATGCCATCCTCTTCGGGTCCTCTAACCAACAATCATTTGTTTCCCCCTTCACTTTTGGACACGACATTCTCAGTGTGGTGTGACAAGGGTATAGGACAGTTTAAACATTT